TTAGTAGCAGTGCTTTTCATAAGGTGGTTAGGTGAGCTGATTAAAGACGAAAGCTTACATTGTGTTTCCTAGTCTGCACTCCTGGGAAAGCCCCAAGAAGGAAATGACTGCCCTAATGACTTCAGCTCATCATTCACAGAGACTGAAAGAATTTCAAGTACTTCTTACTCAGTAAACAGGCACATGAAGAGAGAAAATGGGGTGCCCAAGAAAGCACTTAGGGACCTACCTGAGTGCAATCTAGCAGCCAAGGCTTTGTCTAGATTGTAACCACAAGCAGGCAGCAATGGTGAGCGTCATGGTGAGAGATGGCTTAGGCTGCCAAGAATCAAAAGCATAAGTTTATGGGTAGGAAAATCCTGAAAGGCAGGAGCAGAGCAGGAGCAGTGTTGCTTGACTGGTCTTAGTGGCTTTGAGAACTGTCTTTTAAAAGCTGCTTATCATACGCAGAGATCTGTATACTCACTCAGCTTGATTCACTGACACCCAGTCGAAAGAGCAGTATCACCCACAACTGCAACGCAACTGTGACAAGGTGAGTTGTAATCTCAGGCTCTTCTTCCTATATTCAACACTACTTAGCATTAAGCACTTATCCAGGTCTAGTTTGGAGTTTTATCTTAGGAAATGAGAGAGACAGGGAGAAGTTTGGAGTATGATCTATGTTATCCCATCAAATTGCCCTCATGGGTTAATTATACAGCAGAGATGTGGTAGTACCAGTAGATTAGATCTATACTGTAGGATGATTCCCATGCATTCATATCAAATGTGCCAAATGGTGATCCCTTAGCAGGTAGTTTTCCTTTCATGCTTTTTCCATGCGTAAATCTGTAACAAGCAAACATCTAGGTACTTTAATTGCTAACTACAGTGCTGACTGTAAAACTGCCAAGGAGGCAACTACCAGGTTTTTTCAGGAAAATTTTTAGCAGGTGAAAACAATGACTGAAAAATGAGAACACTTGAACCTCTCTGCAAGTTTATCCTATGTCACTGACAGTAGCCACAGAAGCACATTAAGGTATTGCTTTCTTCAAGTAGCAGGATCTAAAATCTGTGCTTTCTATGCTGGATGGAAGAAAGTATTCTGGGAACAGATATACCGCTTCCCATCACCATGTAAGTTGAATGGCTTGCCAGTTTGGATGTCTTAACATGATTATACTTCTAAAGTAGCTCATTGATATGTCTCGCATCTTTATTAGGAGTCCCATAATACTTCATGTTTTCCTTGAAGACCTTTTTTCTGGTGCCACAACATCATGCCAAAACCTCAGCTTTATCTACAAAGCGGATTTTGTCTTTGGTGTTGTAGAAAAGGGCTGGGAAGTAGGACCTGAATGAAGCTCAGATATGAAAGAAAGGGCAAATAAAAAAAGTTTTATTTTAAAGCCAATGTCATATTTTTTGAGCAGAAAATGACTTATGGCTTTTAGCGGTTCAGATTTGTAATTTAAAGAACAAAATAAATCATTACAACTGCCAGGAGAAGTGCATAGCAAAATAAGGAGAGTGGTGAACCTCAGACAAACAATTTCACTGCTGGACCTGCCACTTTTGAACAACTGCCTCTCAGCCAAAATGGAATAAGATCAGCTTAAACTAATCAAAAAACCTATCAAAATTAATAAAAGTCAAGTCTTATTGGAAAATTGCACTTGGAGGAGGTGGTTTAACAAATTTACCTATAAATTTAGCAGGAAAACTCACCACTGGCTACATGAACATAAAAGCTAGTTGTACTGGTTTTTCACCTTTGAAACGCAAAGCCAGTATTTAAGTCAGAATACTCCTGGGGCTTTCAGAGGCTGCTGCCTTCTCAGCTTGATTTGATTGATGAGAATGAGACAGGTAGCAATTGTGTTCTATTGAAAAATTCATTATCTGTAAGTTTATGGGCAGAACTGGAATTTGATGAATTTCAGGTCATGGCACAAAGGCGTTTCTTTCCCTTCATTTCTGGCTTTTAGAAACATACTTTCCAACAACAGGCAATTTGATTTGTATGTTCTAGTCTTGATTTAGCCAACTCATTCTGATGGCCAGAGATTTTATGAAAAACAAGTTTTCCCACAATCTTCCAATTTCTGTGTGTCATGGTAACCAATGGCACTAAATAACAACACTGTCTAAATGCTTTTGGGACCAGATTGTAGCTACGGACAAGGGCCAGTATAACAGCGAAAGGAAGTTTTGTAAGGGCAATTTAGCAGCAGATAGCACAAAAGATATCCTTGAAACAAAGGAAAATAACTATAATAGGTGCAACAGCAGTTACTGAAACACAAACCTCTGAGTGTTCTGCATGCAAAGAACAGAAAAAAGAAGGTACAGCCATTGCTCAGCTAAAAATTTGTCCAGTACTTGGATATCTTTTCTGCCTCAGAAAGTGAAGATTCTTATCTACACATATCTACATATAGTAGTAGTGCAGTGTATTTCTCACACACACTGAGCTGAATTTTAAAGAGACCATGCTGAGGTTCCTGCCAAGCATGAATTCCCGTCTGGATAAGGAGCTGTTATCTCCTCCCTGCTCTGCAAGATGGCTTCATTTCATGAACACATGCCTTGAATTTTCCTCAGTCATGTTTCATGAAGGGCAATACTAATTGAATCTTGAATGACACTGATACTTTTACCCCCTACCTTGTAATATCATGATATTGCCATGAGTCACATAGTTGGTTTTGGACAAAGTGAAATTTCAGACTGTGAGATAGGCAATGAGGGTCCTTCTCTCCCCTCCATCCTGACTGCTCCATAATTGATCTGGGAAACACACCCTGGAAACTTCTGGTCTTTGGTGGTAGCTTCAGTGTCCTGGCATTCTGGATGATGCTGCAAAAGGCCCTATGGGAGGACAGCAAAACTGTTCCATGGTCAGAAGTTGATACACAAAGAAGTCAGACGCTCGTGCTTGCAGTAAAATGAGAACAGTGTTAGCTGGTTGCTGAATGGCATAGCATCATCAGCTTAACAGATCACTGCCAACTACATGATGGCTCAAGATGGGTCTAGTGCTCTTCTGAAAACTTAGAAAGAACAGTATGGAAGTGAAAACTTTCCTGCAAGTGATGCATCTGGAATACGTTATCAAAAAGTATTGTGGTGGCAAGTAGTAGAGATAAGGCACCTGCTTGTTATCTGAATCTGAGAGGCACCTGGGAACAGCAGGGAAGACCAGAGAGTTACTCGCATACATTTTATAATTAAAGGGATAATGATGTGATCTGGAATTAATGTTTGGAAGTTATGTGGCTAGGGAAGCACTTTAGAATTCACACCTTCTAGTACGTGATTGCTGTAGAGGAGCCTGCTTTTCTGGCATGCAGCATATATTTGGTGTATAATGACATACAGAACAGTTTGACCTTGAAGCAATTAATCTCTTCTGAGACACATGGGTTTTGAATGGACATAGACATAATTGGAATTTTTAAATTACGCAAGGCGTGCTCAATCTTTCCATCAGAGTATAGCTGGAACAAAGCATAGGAAGGATCTCTGTGGGAGAGAAAAATACTCCTACTTTCTAGAAAAAGCATCTCCCATGTTTGAGAAGAGGGGATTCTTTGAATCTCAGCTCTCCTCAGTTACTGCAATTTGACACAAGAGACCAGACATGAGTAAGGAGAAAGCTGCTGGTAGTGTCTTGTCCTTGCATCATATGTCACAGATTTAGCAAAAGGAGGGCCAGGTATCAGTCATAGTACCACTGCTGAATTTATAGAAAGATTTGGCTTTAGCATTTTTGTCTTTTCTAGAGAAAAATGCTAATTCCAAATATTTTTATAAATTTCCACTGCATTTACCCAAAGGAAAACAAAAAAAAGAAAAGAAGAAAAAAAAAAAAGATTTCACATAAAGCTGTTTGTTTGCCTTGTTTGGAAACCAATATTGTTTAGAATTGTATAAATAGCACAATAATAAATTAAGAAAAGAGTATCCTGTCATAAACCTAGCATGGAAAAATTCCAGGAATTCATCACCTTAGACATCCACATAATTCAGGACTAAGTGGGCTGATACCAATGGCATGAAATAAAGAATAAAAATGAGATCAGAATTGTACCCTGATCAAGCAAGGGGAAGCTAGTGAAGAAATGTGTGTCTATATGAATTTACTTTCACTTAAGGTCCATATCAAATAATTTTTAGAATTTTTTTCCTCTCCACTTTAAAACACTTTGGGTATTCATTATTAGTTTGGATGTTCTTAGTAAGTGCTATAATTAAGATGAAACGTAATTTGAATTCTAATTGTTCTTTCAGCAGCTTGCAACATTCAGACCAAATTCTTATTTCTTGGAAAGACATGTTCAGGTACTTCTACTTTGCATTTAAATTGCAAAGTTATCTTTTTTGTAAATTACGATCCAGTAAAAAATGTAGTTTGATTTAGCAGCACCAAATTCAGACTTACTCTAAATGGGGACCCTGTTTTACACCACACATGTAATAGGCTTGTCTTGATTCCAAATGTAAGTTTAAAAGAAAACAAATGCTAAGATTAAAAACAGGATATTGCAGATAAATAAAATACTAATTGAAATAAATAGAGCCAGATTAATTCACATCAAATCAAGATCCAGACTCTACTCTGAAGAACCACAAACGGGAAAATAAATAGGCACCAAAATTTTTTCTCTAAAACTACCTTTCTGAGAGTAATCGCAGTACCTAAACAGTCTTAATTTAATCATTCACTGGAGGATGTTACAGGTAAGTGCTCATAATAAACAGTAGGTGTTTCCCTGAAGGCCATGATGGTTTGCATAATGTGCTAGTTATTTATTTTCCAGTGTTAAGGTGACAGTAAACTGTTACAGTACAGTAATGAGAAGTTTCATAAATGTCTATTGCTAACAAGAGATCTTAAGTTCTGAGTTTCAGAGGTTAAAATAATTCAGCACCACCAGTACAGTCACTGCTGTTACATATGATCCAATTCCTCCTTCTTTAATTAACTTTTGAATGTTCTAATCTATTTATAGATGGAGACATTGAGAGCCCCACAGCTGGAGCAGATGTGGCTGTTATTGGAGGTAAGTAGCAGACCATACTAAGCCGCACCATTAGAATTAAAACAGCAGGTTGGTTGATTTCTTGCATTTTGCAAAACCCCTACTTTGCTGACAAGACAACAGGAGCAGCACAATTAGAGTTAATTAGGCCAGTGGGAAATCTGCTCCCAGAGGGGCTATTGGCAAGATAACTAGATGAGATAATGAGCATAAACCATAAAGTGAGCAGTACCACCCCTTCCATTCCTGATTTTAGGACAAAATGCCTAGCAGTCCAGCAACAAAGTCAGACTCTGATATTCTTCATTATTCACTGGGCCAAAATTGTCATTTAATACAGGATTGGCATAGCACTTTTGATCTGAGCCATGCTAGCTCATACCAGCTGACCCTTTATTGTTGCAGAACATACTACAGTGAATTTTCTGGTGTTCCATTAAAGCTCTCTCATGCATTTAAACTAAATACAGTTGTCAGAATAAATGAACAAAGCCATGTTTATGGAGAGAACCTTTTTATTTTTATTGTGTTTGTTCATTTCCATGCTAACGCACTAATTTCAGTCATTCACAAGGGGGTACGCCATTCATTAGTGCAAATTGGTGAGGTTATGCTATATTTCCCTCAGGTCCCAACTCCTGTAACTTTAATTTTAGCTTTCTATGAACAAGTAGCAGGTAAATTGATTTGTACTTAGTCCCTTAGGCTTATTAATATTGTGCTACATCCAAAGCCTATTAAAGCCGCTTGTGTCAAGGGATACCAGTGAGGTCCTAAAAATTGATGAAGCCCCCACTGCAACTAAGATATTACTGTAAATCTAAAGCTCTTTGTATAAGCAATTTCATTTCTGCCGGCAGTAACTTCGCTTTCCAGAACTAGGCACCTTAAAATCTGTGGTATAACATTGCAGGTATATTTTTTAAGAGAGTTATTATTTTTATTTAGTCCATTAATATCCTGTCCATTCCTATGTTTTGATGCCAATAGGGTATCCCCACTCAGTTTACTGATGTTGGTAAATCTAAAGCTTTAGAGATACCTACTCCTGCCATATATCTTGAACACAGGGACAACAGAGATACTGTCTGCATACCCCTCATTGTCTCTGCAGAATAGTAAGCATTTCCAGGGAGCAATTTATCTGACCAAGCATAGGAATTCAATTCTAGAAGAGGAATCACTCTGCACACACACACCATCCACTGACAGTGGAGGAAGCCCAGGGTAAGTAACTCACATGAAGCCTCCTGAACTGTAGATGCCTACAATAAGTCAGATGACTTCCTACCTATTGCATCCTCATAGCATCTTCATACTCCACAAGAGGGATTTTCCTAGGAATGTCCATTTCTGGTGTGTTTTACTACGTATGGTTTTAATGTTTGGTTTGCTCCTGGAGTCATGTGAGTATAGAATCAGTTTGGTATAATGTACAGAGTCACAGCTAAAGTGTTATAAGCACATCCCAGTTGTGTGCAAAGAGTGTTAAAAAAATAAAAACCACACAAATTGAAAAAACTTCAAAGTACTTCATTTATTTTCAGGAGCCTTAAGTGAACAATTTGATGGGGAATGAAGGGGATACAGCTTGTAATTTTTTGGACTTTCAGGGGTGTCACTTTTTTATGGACTCCTACCTTTCACAGTAGAACAGGAAAAAAGGAAAGGACTCTGGGAAGCAAGGACACACAATGTTCTCTGCACAGCCACTCCTGGAACTTGAATTTACTTTCCTTCACTAGGAATGCTTCCATTCAACATTTAGGCCTATGCACATGTGAGTTACCTATGGAAATTTTTTGCCAGTTAATACATAGCTAGTAATTAGCCTTGGTCCAGGAGACAGGAAGGATCTACCCATAATCCCTTCTGCCTCCCAGGTGTCACTTCCACATTCATTACAATCAGACTTTCTTAATTAGAGCACAGCATGAAATGGCAGCTTGCGAATACAGAGCCGTACCAAAGTCACATGGCTCCTGCTGTTTGTTGAATGTCTCCCAAGAAATACTTAATGCCCTGTACCTCTCCTGAAATTGAGTACACCTGTTGGGGTAGGGCTGGTTGCCTGCAGACTCTCCTGGGTATATGTTACAGAAGGATGAAATAAATCTGTTGGTTTTTCTTTATGTTCTCTTATTTCTCCTCATTTTGTAATTAATTTTTTCAATGAGTTCAACCAAAGCAAGCCATTGATTTGAAGAAAGCTGGTGAGAATTTGACTTGCATTCCTG